CTGCTCCACTGTCCTCTGCCAGCCCACAAGATGAAAAGCAAGGCTTGCAGAAGGATGCTCCTTCAGACAGAAGCAGCACTAAAAGCATCCTGAATCAAGATGAGTGGGAGGGGCGCCTGGGTGGCTCAGTGGGTTAAGCCTCTGCCTTCGGCTCAGGTCATGGTCTCAGGGTCCTGGGATCGAGCCCCGCATCGGGCTCTCTGCTCGGCGGGGAGTCTGCTTCCTCCCTCTCTCTGCCTGTCTCTCTGCCTACTTGTGATCTCTGTCTGTCAAATGAATGAATAAAATCTTTAAAAAAAAAAAAAAGATGAGTGGGAAATAGGGATGCCTGGGTGGCTCAGTTGGAAAAGCGTCTGCCTTGGGCTCAGGTCATGATCCCAGGGTCCTGGGATCGAGCCCTGCATAGGGCTCCTTGCTCAGCAGGGAGTCTGCTTCTCCCTTTCCCTCTGTGTGCTCTCTATCTAGATATCTAGATAAATAAATATGTCTTAAAAAAAAAGATGAGTGGGAAATTATCTTAGTAAGCACGTTTTGGATACAGAAAAAACATCTTGAGCACCTGGGTGGTTCAGTTGGTTAAGCGACTGCCTTCAGTTCAGGTCATGATCCCGGAGTCCAGGGATTGAGTCCCGCATAGGCTCCCAGCTCCATGGGGAGTCTGCTTCTCCCTCTGACCTTCTCCCCTCTCATGCTCTCACTCTCTCTCTCAAATAAATAAGTAAAATCTTAAAAAAAAAATCTTTTCTCATCTACCCACACTCCTTCCCAGGTGATCCCTGGCAGTTCTATTGCTAAACCACTCCCAATGCTGACAACTCCACCTTCAAACTCTCCCCAGACCTCCAGGCTCACATATCCAACCTCCTTCTCCATCCACCTGGATGACTAATAAGCATCTCAAGCCAAAAAGGGCTCTTGATCATCCTCTCAGTGAGCTAAGTCTTTGTCATTTCAGTAAATGGCAAGTCTCTCCTTCTAGTTGCACAGGGTAGAAATCAGGGAACTACCCTTCGTCCTTCTTACTTTCACGCCCTACGACCAATCCAGCAGTAAGTTCTTTTGGTTCTACTTCCAAAATCTGGCCACCTCGAACTACCTCCTTCACCATCAAACTGGTCTAATCCACCATTATTTCTCCCTTGATTATTTTTTTATTAACTGTTTTTTATTTGTTTTAAATAAACTCTATGCCCAAGGTGTGGCTCAGACTCACAACTCTGAGATCAAGAGTCACATGCTCTACTGACTGAGCCAGCCAGGTGCCCTGATTCCTCAATTACTACAATAGCTTCCTAATTGTTTTCCCTCCTTCCAGTCTTGCCCCCTCTCTGCCCCATCCTGACTGCAGCAGCAGCCAGAGTGCTCCTTTAAAAAGTTGAAGTTGAGGGGCACCTGGGTGGCTCAGTGGGTTAAAGCCTCTGCCTTCGGCTCGGGTCATGATCCCAGGGTCCTGGGGTCGAGCCCCGCATCAGGCTCTCTGCTTGGCAGGGAGCCTGCTTCCTCCTCTCTCTCTCTGCCTGCTTCTCTGCCTACTTGTGCTCTCTGTCTGTTAAATAAATAAATAAAATCTTAAAAAAAAAAAAAAGTTGAAGTTGGGCACTTGGCCAGCTCAGTCAGTACAGCATGTAAGTCTTGACCTTGGATTTATGGGTTTGAGCCCCATGTTACATGTAGAGATTACTTAAGAATCTTTAAAAAATAAATAATAATAGTCATGGTAATGGTCCTTGATGCAAGCAGGAGAAAAAGGACAGGGGAAACTGTCCCCACAAAATGTTCATCCATCACAAGACTTGTATTCCCCAAATGCAAAAAGCTTAAATCAAATTATATCACTTCTCTGCTCGAAACCTTCCTATGGCTTCTCATCTCAGAGTAAAATCCAAAAAGCCTACATATTTTTGTAAATCATGTATCCAATATGGCCTTTTGCCTAGAATACACAAAGAACTATAAAAACTCAATAACAAAAAGCCAACTAAACTAATTAAAATACGGGAAAAGGATCTAAACAGACATTTCTCCAAAGAAGATAGATAAATGGCCAATAAACACAAGAAAAGATGCTGCATATCATTAGCCATCAAGGAAATGTAAATCAGAATCACAACCACATACTACCTCTTATCCACCAAAATGGTTATAATCAAAGACAGATGACAGCAAGTGTTGGTGAGGATGTGGAGCAAGAGGAACCTTCACACATCGCTGGTGGAAACATAAGACGGTGCAGCCACTTTGGAAAACAGTGTGGCAGTTCCTCTAAAGAGTAAATAGAGACATGCCATCCGACCCAGCAATTCCACTCCTAGGAATATCTCCAAGAAGAGTGGAAACATCCGCATGAAAACTGCTACACCAATGTTCATAATAGTGTTATTCGTACTTGCCCAAAAGTGGAAATAACTCAAATGTCCACCAACTAAGTGAACAGATGAAAGGTGCACACAGTGGACCAGTACTTAGCAATAAAAAGAAGTACTAATACATGCTACCTGAATGAATCTTAAACACATATACAAAATGAAAGAGGTCTCTTACAAAAGACCACCTAGTCCATGTCCTTATTTGTCCATAATAGGCAAACCTACAGAGACAGAAAGTAGATCATTGGTGTCCTGGGGCTGGGGGTTTGGTGGGGAGAGGATAAGGACTAATGGATGTGGGATTTCTTTTTGGGTTTTTCCCCACAGAGCAGGAAGCCTGATGCAGGACTTGATCCACAGACCCAGCCAAAGGGTCCTGACCTGAGCCAAAGGCAGGTGCTTAATGACTGAGCCACCCAGGTGCCCTCTTTTGGGGGTTTTGAAAATGTTCTAAAATTGATTGTGGTAACAGTCACACAACTCTGTGAATAGACTAAACGCCATTAATTGTATGCTTTAAATGGGTGAATTGTAATGATATAAGAATTTGTATCTTTCTTTTAAGATTTATCTATTTTAGAGAAAGAGAGAGAGAAAATGCAAGCAGTGAGGGAGGAGAAGGAGAGAGAGAATCCAGAGCAGACCGTCTGCTATGAGCAGAGCCCAGTGCAATGGAAGGCTGGGAGTAGGGCTTGATCCCACAACCCTGAGATCAAGACCTAAGCTGAGATCAAGAGTCCCACTCTTCACTGACTGAGCCATGCAGGCACCTCTGTGAATTTATAGCTTGATAAAACTGTTTTTTAAAAAATCTTGAGTCTTACTAGGCCTTACAAGGTCCTTACCTATGGAAGTTCATCTCCATCCTTTTCTTTCCTCTTCTGCACAGGTCATTTTGGCTTCCTTGATCCACCAACTACCCTCCCAGCTCAGGCTGTGGCTTATGGTGGAGTAGTTTGTGCCCTACACAAAAAGTCCCTGGCTGAGGGTGTAATCGAGAACTGCAATCTAGGCTTCTGCTTATCTAGACCTGGGCCTCAGGGCTACACCATCTCAGAGGGGTCATTTTCTAACTGGCACGCATGTATGTGCTATCCAGGACCATGTTTATGTTCCCTCCACTTCTTCTATTCTGCCCCACGTACCCACATGACTTGCTCACTTTTTAAAAAAAAATTTATTTATTTATTTTAGTGGGGGAGGGCAGATGGAGAAGGGAGAGAGAGAGAGAGAGAGAGAGAAACCTAAGCAGACTCTGCACTGAGCCCGGACCCTGATCTGGGATCATGACCTGGGCTGAAACCAAGAGCCAGTTGCTTAACCAACTGACCTATCGAGGACCTCTGACTTGCTCACTTTTATTGATTTCTCTGCTCCAATGTCATCAGAGGGGCCTTCCATGACCCCTGTGTGATATCAGCCCCACCATCCTCTAACTCTTCACCTGCTTTTACTTCTCTTCACAGAACCTACTACCACCTCCATATACCACATATATCATATATATATATGTGTGTGTGTGTGTTTTATACTATATATATCATATATATGTATGTATATATAAATATGCACATATATATATAAGATTTTATTTCTTTATTTGCTAGAGAGAGAGGGCAAAAGCGGTGGGGCGGGCAGGCTGAGGGAGAAGCAGGCTCCCCACTTAGCAAGGAGCCCAACAGGGGACTCAATCCCAGGACCCTGGGATCATGACCTGAGCAGAAGACAGACGATTAACCGACTGAGCCGCCCAGGTGCCCCTCAAATATCATATGTTGATGTGCCTTTTGGTTACCACCTGTCTTCTTCTATTAGACTGTAAGCCCCATGAGAACAGGAGCTTCATTTCATTTACTGCTATAGCCCCAGTGCTTACAGGAATGTCTAGTATATAGTAGGTGATCAATAAATAATTTCTTGGGACGCCTGGGTGGCTCAGTTGGTTAAGCAGTTGCCTTCGGCTCAGGTCATGATCCCAGCGTCCTTGGATCGGATCAAGTCCCATATCCGGCTCCTTGCTCGGCGGGGAGCCTGCTTCTCCCTCTGCCTCTGCCTGCCATTCTGTCTGCCTGTGCTTGCTCTCTCTCCATCTCTCTCTGACAAATAAATAAAATCTTTAATAAATAAATAAATAAATAAATAATTTCTCGAAAGGCATCTGGGTGGCTCAGTTGGTTAAGCAGCTGCCTTTGGCTCAAGTCATGATCCTGGAGTCCCAGGATCAAGCCCCACATCGGGCTCCCCACTCCGTGAAGAGTCTGCTTCTCCTTCTCCCTCCCTCCCTCTCCCTCTTGGCCCCTCCCCCCCGCTCCTTCTCTTTCTCCCTCTCTCTCTTTCAAATAAGTAAATAAAAATCTTTAAAATATGTAAATAAATAAATAATTTCTTGAGCGTATAAACAAATGCAGTAAGCTCAAGTGGCCATCCAAGGCCCAGTCTAAGCTAATTCTAAGGGAAGAGGAGGTGTGTTTTCTGTGGACTGGACTGATTGCCTGACTGCTGAAAAATAACCATGCGGTGCTGAACACTCAGTGGCTGAGATTATCTGGAAGATGGCACCATTGATTCCGATGTGACCTCAGTGGGGTGCGGGCCAGCGCTCAGGGAGGGACCATTGCTGGTCTGGTCTCTTACCTCCTCTTTAGTGTAGTACTTCAGGAGGCCTTCTTTTGCCAGGAGGACAAACTTCCTTCTCAGGAACTGTGCATTGTCCCTTCCCCGCTTCCACAGGAACCCTTCCCGGTTTCCTTAGCCGCCAAGGATGAGAAAGAGGGAACAGCCACATCCTTGAGATGAACAAGCAGTTTGCAAACCACGTAGGGTCTCAAGGGTAGAGAGAATGCTCCACCCCTTGCTAAAATATCTTAAATCTAACTTAGCTATGTCAGCTGCTGCACGTAGGGTTCTGTCTGGGGCCAAATTTGCCAAGTCTCATGACTTCGGTTGGGCTCTCCCTAACTTCCTTCTTTGGCTCTTTCATAAGAAGACAGACTAAACCCTTAAGAAGGCTAAGTTCTGAGAAACTGGATGATTCTGAAAGATGCTGGTAATGGTGCTGTCCGGTGTCATGTTGACGCCGACCTGACAAAACCCTCCAAAGGACGGAAATGTTGAGCGACCTCTAGGAACCTGCAAGTTCAGAGTACCATGTGCTCCCCTTAGCTAGGGTTGCTGAGCTCCGGCTGTCTCCAGTCCTCGCAGTGGTTTTGTACACTTTGCTTTCTGGGTCAGCGTTCAGCTTGGGCTCAGAGCAATGAGCAGACTCAGCCACAGGCCGAGGGCTAGCCGTGAGCTTGGGCCCTACACAAAGGTGGGAAGGGAGGCGGAAATCCCTCCCATGTACCTTACCAAGCCTTGTGCCACACGAGGGGCCACACTCCCCAACAGCAGGGGTGCATTTTGCTAACTGTCTGGCGGGCAAGTCTTCCTGCAACTTTACACTAAGACACTGTATGCACCTGTGGCCCTGTGGTGACCAGAGATAAAAATGCTTCTTGACCACTCAGACCATAAAACTCCGCCTGCTGACGACGTGTTGCTGTTTCAGAGGCAAAGGAACCCACACCTTGGCCTCTGTGGCCAGAGTGAGGCCAGCAGATAGCTCCTGACTGGGCCCTCTTCCTAATACTCGGGTGCTTTATTGACCAGAATTCATTAGAACATAGACCTCAAAAGATGAAGGAAATAACCTTACCTGGAGGTGAGGTGGTTTTCCCATCGGCCATAAATTCCTGTCTTTCATACTTAGCTCGAATCCACTGTTCCTTTAACACCCTAAGAAGAGAGAGCCTTTGGTCAACTGTGTCTGAGGCAACCCCTTTTCACAGGGTGGGGGCATCCCAGCAGCTGCCTGGTCAGACCCTCCAGGGCCGCTCAGCTTCGGTACCATAACATTGGTTATGGTAAATCTCTGTTGGGGGAAGGGGAAGACTCCTGTGTTCTGTCGGATGCCCAGTGGCATCATTGGTTTCTATCCTCTAGATGCCAGTAGTACCCTCTTCCCAGTTATGATACCCCAAAATGTCTTCAGATATTGCCAGTGTCTCCCGGAGAAAAATATTCCCCCCAAGGGGCTATCTGAAAACCACTGGGTTATTCCAGCCCCAGCCCAGGCTTCTAGATCAACCAGCTCCCCTGGATCATCTATACTGCCCCCTCCCACTGCACACTCATCAGCTGAAGCCAGGAGAGTCCAGGACCCTCCACCTGTGGCTTGTCCATCAAATCTGGGCCTGCTGCACTGGACACAGCAGTGATCTTGGGGTCCAACCACCTGGGACCTGCTCCTCCTCTCCTATTTATCCACCATGGGACCCACAGCAAGTTGCATAACTCCTCTGAACTTGGGGAATATGTCAATAATATTACACCTACCTTCCCTTTGGGGTTGTTGAGGGGTTTAAATATATATGTAAAAGGATCTGGTACCATGATCACCACATAGCAGGAGTTTAATGTTAGCCTAATCAGTCACATGACCCCTGCAGAAAACGTATTGCAATTGTTTGGTTCCCTCTTGCCTTTTCCAGGTAAACATTCTAAGGTTCATGTGACCTTACCCAAGAACCACAGGGAATGACCCGGAAGTGGGCACCTGGCCCGACCCGGATAATCAGAGCTCTGCCCTGAGCTACTGGAGCAAAAGGAGCAAAACCGAGGGAGGGGTGGACTGAAAGCCTTCTCTCCGTCAAGCTGGTAGCTGGAGCCAAGGATCTGGAGCCAGGGACACAAAGTGGCCTTGCTCCCAGCTACATGAAAGAAGCCTGGCCAACTGAAAGGGGCAGAAATGAGAACCAGAAAGAGAATGTAAGAGGTGTTTGTGCTGCTGGCCTGTCCATCCTGAGGGGGCTCCACCTCTGTCCCTCCTACGCTCTGATCCCTAGAACCTACAACTCCCCTCGTGCCTAAGCTGTGATTCTGTCACTTGCAACCAGAGGCCCTGCTTAATGCACAGCCCTCACCCCCGGCACACTGAAGACAGTCACCAAGCCAACCGTGGCACCCTGAGCCACAGGATCAGAGCTGGAAGAGGGAGTGGAGACTAAGGCCTCAGTCCTGGTCCTGGAAGTGGGGAATTTAGAGGACTTCTAGAATTCCAGGGAGGAGGCCATTTGTGTCCCACTAATAGGGTGTGAGGTGAGGGGCTGTGGTTGGAATCGTGGAAGTAGTGTCTGGAGTGCTGGCAGAAAGCCCAACACGTAGTAGGTGTTCACCAAATGTCTGTTCCTTCCTTCCTGCAGCAAAGCAGCAGGGAGGCAAGGGGAGCCAGACCCTCTTGAGGTAAGCCTGGCACCTCCCTCAGGGACCAGGCAGCATTCCAAAGGTGACAATGAGAAATGGATTAAAACTAGCCTATTGGGGGGCACCTGGGTGGCTCGGTGGGTTAAAGCCTCTGCCTTTGGCTCAGGTCATGGTCTCAGGGTCCTGAGATTGAGCCCCGCATCAGGCTCTCTGCTCAGCAGGGAGCCTGCATCCCCCACTCCTTCTGCCTGCCTCTCTGCCTACTTGTGATTTCTCTCTCTGTGTCAAATAAAGAAATAAAATTTTCAAAAAAAATTTTTTTAAACTAGACTGTTGGGTGGCCTGTGAGACATTTCACATAAATTATCTCATTTACTCTCTACCACCATGCCATGACGGAGGCATCATTAACTACATTTTAGAGACAAGAGAGCCATAATTCAGAGAGGTTTGGTAACTTGTCTACCTTCTCACAGCTAGAGAGTGGTAGAGTCAGGAAACAATACTGGGGTCCTCTGAGTAGAAAGCTGTGTCCCCCCCACCCCCACCCCACCACTCCATGCTGCATCAGCAGCCTCTGGGTTGTTTTAACTACTGGAAAATGGTAGGGTACTAGGTACAGTTGTATAGTTTGCACACTGTCCAAAAGCTTCCTGCTGAGGCTAAAGGACAATGGCGACTGAAATGTAGCCTATTTCCTGAAAGCCATACCTTCACTGCTAGTGAGGCTGTACCTGCCCAGAGGGTATGTTCTTCCTATTTATTCCAGAATGGTGGCTGGGGGTAGATAAAGGGAGGGGGTCACTGTCTAGCAGCCCTGGCAGTGAGCCTGAGTCCCTGGAAGGGAAGCTAAGGTTCAGGCAGTTAGCTCTGCAGAGGCTGGGGTCACTAGGTACCAGGGTCACACTGACCCCTCACATCCAGGGGACCTGAAACCTCATGTTGCTTCCCAGATTCCCCCCACTTATATTAGATTTCCCCAGTGCCCTGTGTCAGATGGGCTAGTTGGTCTCAGTTCTGTCTCTATGAGCCTCAGGAATGTTATCTATTTCATGGGGACCATGCCAGTGTTATCTCAGAGCTGTTGAGAGAATTAAAGACATGAATGCACACAGCATTTAGCACAGGGCCTGGTACATAGGCAGAGTTCAATAAATATTAGTGGCTACTATTATTTTTACGGTGATTACATAGGGATCTGGGGCCAGACAGTTGCTTTGGAGCTAGGCTGAGTTGAAGTGGGACAGCCCTGGGAACAACACTTCATAGGAAATAGCTGAAACACACCTGTTCTACTAAAATACCAGTGTTCCTCTTCGTTATCGAGTTAGCTGCGACCAGTAGGCTATGAGAACATCAGAGGCAAAGGGGCGGGTCATAGAGAAAATGCCCCATATCACAGCTGTGGAAACTGAGTCCCATTGAGGGGAAGTGATAAACCAAGGAATAAGGGTAGAGGAGGAACTGAGCCAGGTCTAAGTGTTTTCCATGACAGTACCAAAATGTCTTCCTGGGTCCACCAGGTACATGGAAAAGACCAGAGACAAAGGGAGGAGAGACCAAGAAATCACCTACTCACAGGCAGTCGTTGGCCTGGGGGACATAGTAGAAAGCAGGGACTCTGGCTTCGTACTTGGCCTTCCCACGGAGGTTCCCGTTGTGGGTCATAAACTGCAAGACAACAGCAACTTGGGGTAATATTAGAACTTGAAAAAATGTGAAATGAAACCATGGTCTACCCAGAAGGCTGCTCTTCCCATTGGCTCCGAGGCTGAGTCAGGAGACACTCCTACTGGACTCTGACACTTCCCATTGGGCTTGGTTATCCACGCTGCTGGGAAGCCCCAGCCTGGGGCAATGAGGGGCTACAGCATACCTCATATAGGCAGAACACTTTACAGTCCTTCCCCATTAGTTCATTCCATCTCCTCGACAATTTTAATATTGCCATCCTCATTTTAGAGGTGAGGAGACGGGCTCAGAGAGGTTAGGCAACTGACCCCAGATGACGCAGCTAGAAAGTGAGGAGCTGGGACTTGAACCCAGACCTGTCTAACTCCAAAATTCAAATTCTTTCTCCCACCCCCTCCCTAGATGGCCAGGACCACCAGCAGCTATGTGCAGGAGACAGACATAGCTGGAGGATGGAAGAAGTCGGAACTGGCCCCCTTGAGTAGGTAGGTCAGGGTGATCACTGGGGCTCTATGAACACCTGACGGACCCAGAGGCAGATAGGCTAAGAGTGGCCTCAGCCAACAGTTACCACTCAGGAACAGAGCTGGCATATCTGGGGTGAGGGCACATGTGGGAAGAAACATCCGGTTTTTAATTTACATTCCCCTGAGCAGAGTGAACCCCATTCTCCCCCTCCCCCAGGGACTCTAGACTATGACTTGGGATTTGCATGGGCTTTGGATCCCAACAGAGCAAGTTTCACATCCCAGCTGTGCCACTGATTCACTGAGTGACCCTTGGGCAGTACTGAACCCCCCCTAAGCTTCAGGGATTTCAACTGCAAAAATGAAGAAAGTATAATAAGGGGGTTATAAGGGACAAAGAAACAATCTTCAGGTCTGCCTGCTGGTTTACCAGCTTCCTATCTTTCTCCTGCACTAGAACATAATCTCCACGTGGGCAGAGACTCTATCCTATTCACTGCTCTTTCCTAATACCCAGCACACAGTAGGCTTACAGTCACTACGTGCCCAACGAATAAAGCATCTAGCAGAGTGCCTGGCACAGAGTGGGCACTCAGGAAACACCGGCCTGCTTTTCCGGTAGTCCTTGAATTCCTCAGCCAAACAGCACAATTTAGAACAGCTTCCTCTCTGAAGGTTTTCTGGCCAAAATGGTATTATATCATCCAGGCTGATGGTGTCCTCCATCTCCATAGATGAGAGGAGCAAAAAGGTGCTCTTCCTGGCTTGGGGTGACGGGTGGAAGGGAGACTATAGACCATGAATTAGTCTATTTCTGTTCCAGTCCAGGACTTCAGCTAATGATACATAATGCCTACAAATGTAGGCAATGAGCCTACATTTAATCCTTACATGAGCTGATTGAAAGAATAGTTGGATCCTTAAAATACAGAAGTGGAAACTGAGGGAAATAAAAAGCTCAGGGCCTTGCACTCAGGGTCTCTAAGCCAGGACTCTAACAGGCTTTGCTTTCTCTTGCTAGTTACTGCTTCTCTCTGGAACTCAGTTTCCTCCCCTGCAGAGGAATGGGGCTATCCACCCTCCACCTCCACCCCTGCTCTGCTGTTTCAAGGCTCTTCAGTGCCCACCCCCCCCTCACTACCTCCACAGTACTGTCATCCCAGAAGTCAAGTCTCACGGATTTAATTTTGCTGATGTCTGGGAAGTTGCGGTGGACACCAGAGCAGTTCAGGCAGATGAAAATGCCCAGCTTGTAGGAGGCCCAGTCGGGATCTAGGGGCAAGAGGGTGGAAGGCGAGTTGGATGGAGAGTTATGCACAGAAACCACGGCTGGGCTGGGGGTGCTGGAGAGGCAGGAATCCATCAGGATTCCTGGGGCCCTGCCCAGCACTGCCCATATTAGGACGTCCTTTTCTCTCGGTCCCCCCACCTTGGGTGAGCTAAGATACCAACATTCAACCTTCTGGTCAGCCCACCGGCCAAAGCACGGAGGCTACCAGGATGATCTTGGAAGGAGTCTAGGGATGGGGTGAGGGCTGAGACGAGCGCAAAGTGGAAGTGACAAGACTCCGGGGAACCGAGAGGAGAGTGCAGAGGAAGGGGCCGGCACTGGGGCGCCCGGCTGGTGAGGTGCAGGTGGGGAAGTCGGCACGCTGCGGAGCAGGAACTTGGGAGGATCCCAGGGGCTTCCGGCAGTTGATAAGGGAGCACTAGACCTTCGGGGGTCTGGGACCCCTAGGTTTGGGAGATGTTTGGGTCCGTGGGCGTGGGAGGTGGCTGGGTCCTAAGTGACTATGTCAGGGACCGAGGTCCGGGTGGGTGGGGTGTCTGGTGGGGCAGGCGAACCAGATGGTCAAGGCATCCGGGTCCCGGGTCTAGTGACTGGGTCCAAGGATATGGAAGGGTCGGTGTCCGGGTCCACAGTGGGGAGGTCAGCCGGCCTGGGTTCGGATGGGCTCGGCAACCGCTGTGGAGAGCGCGGCTGAGGGCGCCAGACAGACATTCGCGGTCTGGGTGGGCGGGGGCCTGGGTCCGAGGGTGTCAGAAGAGCCCCCGCACGGGCCCGGGACAGGACCTGGTCTGGAAGGAGGAGAGGAGGTCTGCGGGCAGGGGTCGCGCTCCCCGCCGCCGCACCCTTACCCGCCGCCCCGCAGTCGGCGCAGTGCGCGTTGCCGGTGCCCGCCGCCTGCAGCAGCTCCAGCAGCCGCTTCTTGTTGCGCTCGCGGTCGCCCATGGCTGGCCCGGCGGGCTCAGCGGGGCTCAGCCCTGCAGCCCCCTAGCCCGCCTACCGCCCAGGGCGCTGAGCTCGCGCCGGCAGGTGAAGAGTGACGCCGCTCCACCGCCTCCCGCGCGCCGGCGCCGCCTCCCGCGCGCCCGCCCCGCCCCTCGAGCCTTCCGCCCCGCCCCCGGCGCGTGCCGGCCACCCCCGCCCCCTGCTCGCCCCGCCCTCCTGCCGCGGCTGAGGCCCGCCCCGCGGGGAGCCACCCGAGCGCTGGCCGGAGAGCAAAGCCTGGCCTGCCGCTTGCTAGTTGCGGGACTGTGGACAACCCAGTCAGCTTCTCTGGCCTCAGTTTCCACGTCTGCTAAAGGCGAATGAGGGCAGGTCTGAGTCTCTGGGCTTCTTGGAAAATTAGACAGGATCTAACCTCCGGGAAAGCGGTCCATGGATGGAGCGCTGACCTCTACTTAGACATTCCAAAGCTACCTCCCCAGGAAACAAACCCTCCTTAATTACCCGGCTTTGAGCAATCTCTCCAGCTTCTGGTCCTTCTGGAACCCTGTTATAGGATCTGTCCCTCCGTGTGGCCCTGAGCACTTTCTATCTACGTCGCGTTACAGTTATTGATATATTTATGTGAATCCTTCTTCCACCTCCGACACACACACACGCCACTCTAGATAGTTTGATGTCAGTAGCTTTATTTCCGTATCCCACGTAACTCCTGGAAACAGCACCTGAACATTTTTAGAAGCCCATTGAATTGTTGCATGACTGTGTTCACGAGGAAAGTGTGGTTTCACCAACATGGACTCCACTAGGTGTTTTTATCTGTTAAGTTCCATCACTGTCAGGTATTGGCAGGGCTTAGGTGGTCTTGAACCTGGGCTCTCCCTCCACCATTCCTGTCCCTCCTTGACCCTTTTCTCTGTGGTCCGGGGGCACACACTGCAAACACTGGCCTTCCCCTCTGCAAGTAAACACCCATATGTCATATGCATATAGCTTTATGCACAAGGATGTTAGATTTCCATCCTGATAACTGCAGCTGACGGTCTAGCTGACCTGCCTATATCCCCAATTCCACATACATGCGTGCATATGTGTGAATCCATAGGGCAGCATGGTATAATAGAATGAATCCAAGAATACAGGCGTTGAATCTTGGCTCCACCACTTCCTAGCTATATGGCCTTGGACAAGTTCCTTCACTTCTCAGAGCCTTGTGGTCCTCACGGATAAAAGGAGGATCTGGGAAGATCCACTGATCTTCACTGAGATGCGCCAGTACATGTGTGGCACACGAAATTCACAGAATACGGGGTGCCTGGGTGGCTCAGTCAGTTAAGCGTCTGCCTTTGGCTCAGGTCATGATCTCAAGGTCCTGGGGTGGAGTCAGGCATCTGGCTCCCTGCTTAGTGGGGAGCTTGCTTCTGCCTCTCCCCTCTGTTCATGCTCTCCTGTTCTCTCTCTGTCAAATAAGTTAAAACATTTTTTTTTTTTTTAATCCTCAGAACACGGTGGCTCCTTTGCTTTCCCTGCTCCTCTGGTCAGCTCGTGGGACCATCCTGTGGAATGCTGTGTATCATTTCCCATCTTCCACAGCAGGGAGGAGGTCAAGACTCTGGGCCTGGGAGGAGGGGGACATTACCAAAAATAACCATCCAGGAGAGTCTCCACTGAGGGGGCTGAAATCTAGCCCAGAGGCAGCTCCAGAGGAACCAGAGAGGGCCCAGAGAGGGTCAGAGGGCATGGGGCTGTTGACCAAACAGGCTGAAAGATGATTCATTTCCTCTGCTTTAGATGAGAAAAAAAAGACAGAAATAAATCTCCCAGGAGACACATGGGAAAAGCAAAATGGGGGAAGTAGGGAGGCAAAGAAGGGACAGGGCAAGGACGTCATTTCTCTGCTGTGCCCCTGCCAGGGCAAGACCCTCAGCCTTCCTGGTTCATACACCTTTGTCCCGCTCTCCTCTGGCACGACGGAGGTGCACAAAAGCCAACCCAGAAAAATGTATCTCCTTCATGGTGAGGAAATCAGAGGTTGAGAGATTGCTTTAGTTTGGCCTCTTCCTGCCCTTATTTCTGGAAGTTTCCATTTATAGAATTCCAAGTCTTAAAGTGGAATTTCAGGCATTCTCAGAGACTAAATGAATACATAAATATTTAAGAAATAAAAGGCACAATTGTATTTTGTTTGTAATGGGTTTCTTTCTCTGGGGCAGGTGAGGGTGATAATGCTGATTAACAGTTATTGACTGTTTCACACAGAGTTTCACACCATTTGATCACATTTGAGGTCCCCGACTGTCCTCTGAGGGCGGTATGCTATCCTCAGAGGAGTGAAGTTATCCAAGGTCAAAGAGCCAAATGGGTGGAACAGGGGTCTAAACCTAGGTCTTTTGGTGTCCACCAGCCCCAGGACACCAAATCCCGCAGGACAAGCCTGCCCTCCCGTTTGTCCTCCCATTCCTAGATTTTTTTTCCCCTTACTTCTTAAAAACTGTGGTAAAAGCTCTATAACACACAATTGCCCTTTTAACCATTTTTTAAAATTTATTTATTCATTTGAGAGAGAGAGAGAGAGAGAGAGCACAATCACGGGGAGAGGGAGAAGCAGACTGCCTACTGAGCAGGGAGGCCAACCCGGGGCTCTACCCCAGGGCCTAGAGATCACGATCCTGGCTGAGGGCGGGCATCCAAACATCTGAGCTGCCCAGGCATTCTGCTTTGAACCATTTTTAAGTGTACAATTCAGTGGCATTGATTACATTCACGATGTCGTGCGACCATCACCACTGTCTGTTTTTATAATTTTTTCATCACCACAAACAGAAACTCAACAGCCCAGTCATGGGTATTGGACACGATCAGCGTTCCGCTCAGGTCTGTGTTCAGGAACCAGAAGCTACTCCTAAGGGAAGAAGAGCACTGGGCCAAAGACTGTAGTGACTGGGATCAGGGGACAAGCTATGAGGGGCAGGGAGGGCTGAGGCAGCCTCCTTCATGGGTTCAGTCTGTACAGCAGCCGCAGGGGTGAGGGAGCAGTTCAGGGCCTGGGACAGAGTATCCTCGTAAATAAAGCTCCCAGGGTTCCTCAGAGCACAAACATCCAGCCCTGCTCTCAGGGTCACTGTCTGCTGAGCTGAGCCCAGCCGCCACAGGGCTGGAAGAAAGCTTTCAACCACATTCCCAGCCCTGGACTTGGCTCAAGATCCCTGGGGAATAGATCACAACCCCTTTGGAAATTTAAATAATTATGTTTATTAGATTATTTTTAACTACAATTACAGGAAATTTGGAAGATACAATAAAGAAGGAAGAAAACAGCACCCACGAGTATAACCATCACTGATTCAGGGATTGCTGTATGTCAGCCATTATTCCACTTAATCTGAAATAGAACCCTGAAGCATAAACTATTTTATGCCCATTTTATAGATGAGACAACTGAGGGCCCCAGCGAGAGTTTTAGTACATTTGTCCCAAGTTACACAACTGAGATGATGCATCCTGGATGATACGTAGTCTGGAGCTGGGATTTGAACCCAGGTCTGCGTGGCCCCCTTTCATCAATATAGTAGGTTGATAGCATGAAGTTGACCTACAAAAATAGTAATGTCATGCAGTTCAACCTAGTATTATTCTTTTAATAGTCCTACCACCAGTTTTTAAAAAAATATTTATTTATTTTTGAGAGCGAGCTCATGTGCAAGTAAGAGGAGGGGCAGAGGGAGAAAGAGAGAGAAAGAATCCTCACGCAGACTCCCCTCCCCCATGAGTGCAAAGCTTGATACAGTGCTTGATCCCAGAACACTGAGATCATGACCTGAGCCGAAATCAATAGTCAGCTGCTTAACCCACTGAGTCACCCAGGTGCCCCTCTACCAACAGTCTTTCTTAACTTTTTCCTAAATTTTCTTCTGGCCACTTATACATATATATTTTTATATCATCAGAATCATATTTTTTCATACAATTTTATGTCCTTTTTTTTTTAAACTTTCTTTACATAATGTTTCCTATCATATTGTTATGGGGCTTCATGATACCATTTTAATAGCTATCTAATAGTCCATGAGAGATGTATATTTCCTTGCTGTTGGACATAGATTGTGCCTGCTTTTTTGTTGTTATACATAATGCTGTAATAAGTATCTTTGTGCCCAAAGCCTTTTCCTGTCTTTAATGCTAGTGTTTTCAAGCACCTGAATCTCCTGTAACTGCTCACTGGTTTCCCGGGGTCCCTTACTCACCTAAGCTTCAAGGTCATGTCTGTTGTATCATCTGTGTATCCCAGCACCTGCCAGCGGTGTAGCAGGGATTCAAAAAATATTTGCAAGTTAAAGAAATGACTATGGGTAAAAAAAATAATAAACAACAAAGCAGAGAGGACTTGGGATCACGAAAGTGTTTCCCTTTGGAATGGAAGTAAGAGGCAGGCGTGTGCAACAGCAGAAAATCAAGCAGCCAGGCAAAAGAATCTGATCGAGCTGACATATTTCTTTGTATATTCACTATTAACTTGTCTTTGATAGGAAGCAGCTAAGAGCCCAGAGGGACTCCTCACTGCAGGACTACCAAAGCGTTTGCTCCTTTCACTCATTATATATTTATGGGGCATACACTATGTGCCAGACACCGTTATGGGTACTGGAGATACAGAGCTATAAACAAAGCAAAGGGTCCTGCCTTTATGCAGCTTACCTTCAAGTGGGAAAGACAGATATACCCATATACAATATGGCACCAGAGTAAAAAATGCTGTAAAGGAACACAGTAAGGGGATAGAGAAGGTTAGAAGATGCTATTTTAAAGAGAGGTCAAGGAGACCCTTTCTGAGGAGGTGACATTGAAGCAAAGATCTGAAGGAAGGGGTTGAGCCAATGAGGCACCTATCTGGGGGGGGGGTGGTCCTAGGAAAAGAGGCCAGCAAGTGCAAAGGCCCTGAGGTGGTAACATGCTTGGGGAGTGCTTTGTCCACATCCTTTGAGCACAGAGGGGTCCAACTCCATGCTGTTGTGCCTCGCTCAAGCTGCTTCCTCTGCTGGGGTGCTGGGTGGCTCAGTTGGTTAAGCGGCTGCCTTTGGCTCAGGTCGTGATCCTGGAGTCTCAGGATGGAGT